TATATATATATATAAGCTAACTAGCTAATTTTAATTGTTGTAACTAATGCTTGTTAGCCTACACAGGGTTAACATAAACATTACCAACATTTAATTCTATGAATCATGAATTAAATTATTGAACTTGTTTAAGAAAAAAGTTAAATTTTATATCAAAATTTAAGAAACCAAATGAGCAAATCTAGCTAATTGCTAAGGCTAATGTATGTTAGCTTAGTATTACAGTTAGCATTTAATTGTAAAATCTAGTTTAGAATCTTCTTTATGTAACAAAAGAAACATCTTAACCATTTAATATTGTTTTAAATAATTAAATCAGCTAATGTTGACCTAAAGTAGACTAACAATAACAAAACATTTAATTGTAAAATCTAGTTTAGAATCTTCTTTATGTAACAAAAGAAACATCTTAATCATTTAATATTGTTTTAAATAATTAAATCAGCGAACGTTAGCTGGTTTAGGCTAATGTTGACCTAAAGTAGACCAACAATAACAAAACATTTAATTGCAAGATCGTACTAATTCGTTTATAACCATATGTTTTAAAGTTTACTGGTAAGTAGAGTGCAAAAAATTAAAAGAAAATATTAAACTAGCTGATGCTAGTTGCTCCAGGCTAATAGCGTATTAGCCTAAGCTAGGCTAACATTATTAGCCTAGTTTTTAGACTGGTATGTTAGCTTAAACTGGCTAACATACTATTGTAATACTGTATAAGTAAATTAGTTTAATATCCCTATTTTCTTCAAGGGGAAACGTGTTTTGCTGTTATATAAAATTACAAACAGTCAAACTAGCTAATGTTAGCTGGTTTGGGCTAGTGTTTGTTAGCCTAAACCAGGCTAGCGTCAGCGTCACAGTAAATGTGTAAACCGGCTGATAACGGCTCGTTTCAGCCACAGCTTTAAGAGGTTCACTGCACAACGTTAGTGGCTCTAAGGAGTTCTAGAAATCTGACTAAAAATAATTTATATTGGTATATTTTACAGTATTATTTGTCGTTCCTCATATTTAATTTTTTTTAACATTTGTGTTGTTCAAGAATATATGGGGTCAAAAGCTAAAAATACAGATATTTAATTTAATTTGCTTATGAGAGAAAGTACTTTAAACAGTGACAACGGGACATTTTGAACAGGAAGAAACTTGCAGACAAAATAAAACCAGTAACTACAAAAGGCTTTTTATAAATATGTCACTTCAGTCGGGGTTTTGAGATATTAATTTTAGCAATAGTAATAGTTTGTCTTGGTTTTTATTAGTACTATTATTTTATTGGTATTTTACTGCAAATTTTATCATACTTTTATTTTTATTAAACTCAATTGTATTTCTTTTATCATATTTTTATCTACGATGTAATTCTTGTCAAGCTATTTGGTCAGCTGTGGTAGTTTTTAAATGTGCTATATAAATAAACTTTGAATTGAATTTTAACGAGCCTTAATCACAAACTGAAACAAAGTGAGCCCTGAACCCGTGACGCTCGGCAGTATTCCTCGACCCACGAGTTTCCTGCTGAGTAAAGAAAACGCCGATCTTCTGTCTGCTGACAGAGCACGTCGATGCGAACAGATAAAACTCAGAACTCGATTTCTCCATCGCCTCGTGTTTCTGCTGAGACGTCCTTCAGGTCTGCCGTCAGAAAACTTGAACGAGGACCCTGAATGAAGTTGAGTCACAAAACATTCATTTACCTGATGACAGAGGTTCCTCCTGGTCTGAGAATGCTTCAACCTGAAACCATTATTATTTTAAATACCACAAATAACTTTTATATTGTTTGTTTTTTATTTGAAGTTTATTTAGAGGTCGTAAATAAAAATTAAACATATGAGGCCTGGATGTGAGAGTTTGTCGGACTCGGCTCTACAATGAAAATGATTTCAGGATTCGTCCTCGGGAGGAAAAGCTGCACCTAAATATAAACATACACCCGATAACCTTTTTTAAATAATTAAAAAGCCAAGTATTTATTTCTGTGGACAGCTACCAACTAAACATCAGCAAGAAAGTTGCAAAATAACCTAGTTATTGTGCAAAAACTCAACAAGAGTAAAAATGAGGGAAAGTAGAAGACTATAGCTAACTGAAAGCTAACTTCTAACTGAGGGCTAACTTCTAACTTAAGGCTAACTTCTAACTGAAGGCTAACTTCTAACTTAAGGCTAACTTCTAACTGAAGGCTAATTTCTAACTGAAGGCTAACTTCTAACTGAGGGCTAACTTCTAACTTAAGGCTAACTTCTAACTGAAGGCTAACTTCTAACTGAAGGCTAACTTCAAACTGAAGGCTAACTTCAAACTGAAGGCTAACTTCTAACTGAAGGCTAACTTCTAACTGAAGGCTAACTTCAAACTGAAGGCTAACTCACAGATGAGGACTAACTTACTCTGACTGAAGGAAAGCACTGCTGAGAGCTAGGTCATGGCTAACTGAGGCTTCTTCTGAGAGCTAATTTCCTGCAAACAGAACCAACTTACTGTTGAGGGCTAACACAGCTAATATACTGCTAACTCAGTGCTAACTTACTGATGAAAGCTAACTTACTGCTAACAGAGCTAACTTACAGCTGAGAGCTAACATGACTGAGGCCTAACTTACCGCTAACTTACTACTGAGGACCAATTTACTGCAAAGTGAGTGCCAACTTACAGCTAATTCAGCAAACTTATAGCTGAGGGCTAATTTGTCGCTAATTGAGGACTAACTTACTGCTAACCGAGAGCTAATTTACTACTGAGGGCTAACTTACAGCTAATTGAGAGCCAACTTACATCTAAATGAGATCTACAGTTAATTAGAGAGCCAACTTAGTTAATTGAGAGCTAACTTACAGCTAATGGAGAGCTAACTTACAGCTTAATTGAGAGCTAACTTAGAGCTAATGGAGAGCTAACTTACAGCTTAATTGAGAGCTAACTTAGAGCTAATGGAGAGCTAACTTACAGCTAATGGAGAGCTAACTTACAGC